CCCCCCAGTAAATTCATCCTTGACTGCAATTAAAAGGGTGTGGGACAAATTATCGGTTCATGAATCTTGAAAGTACCTCTTAATATCTTTATTTCAGGGAGAATGAAAAAGATAAGGAAGGTTTAGTAGATGACTGGAAGATAGTGAACTTAATGCGTGTTATTGGAGCTATATTAGGATGGATATTACTGGCCTGGCAACCTGGCAAAGATTACTCCGACGGTAAGTATGCCTAAGTAGCTATTTACTAAGGCTGGATTCGCGCTAACTTTAGGTTAAAAATTTTAGCCCGCTGGGTTTTGTTTTGTATTTCTGTACGTCCTTTCAGAACCTCTGCAGGGGCCTGTTGTTCAAAGCTGGATTAACACTAATCCTCGGCTAAAGCTTAACCCGCTGTTTTGGTTTGGATACAATTGCACTTCTGTTTATTTCAAAAGTTTGAAAAAGAAAACTTCTATTGATTCAGACATGAATGTGGAAAACTATCTTCATGTTGTTGGGAAGATTGCTTTGCGTATAATTGTTCATGTTCATATAATTATAATTATAACATAATTATAATTATAACTCTTCAAGAGTGCAACCAGTTTCGCCTAATAAAGGCCAACTATCTAGACTAGTCCTCTGTGACTACAGTATATACTTTAGTTGGCTGTTTACCTAATCTGTTATATTTATTTTGTATTCTTTTCTTACTATTTTTGTTTTCCAAGTTTAATTAAAAACAAGCCGTTGGGGAAAGCTAACAGGCGTTCGAACAACGACCCCTGGCGCCGGTTTTTCAAAGCTAGATTTGCGCAAACCAAACTTCTGTTGATCTAGACAAGATTTCTGAAGAAATATCTCCATGTTATAAAATGGGCTGTTTGGAAGATTGCTTTGACGATTTTCGTTAACCCGGGATTAAGCTAATCGGCTTTCGAAAAACCGGGCCCTGGAGTATCTTTTCTATCAGGGCGGAGTATCTTCTGTCGGCCAGTCGGACGCAGACCTACTGTAGGCCTGGAGAACTTTGGGACTCTGAAATTACTCCTGGGGCCCGGAATTTCGTACGAAGGAGGACAGATTCAGGCTATTTCGTTATGCTGAAAATTCATCTGGCTTCTGAGCAGCCTATATGATACGTGATTGGGCTCTTCCAAGCAAGCTATTCGTTCGTAAGCATTTTTTGATGGGCTTATACATGGAGGGGATTATATACAGGGGGGAGGCTTACATGCAGGTGACATTTGATATTGGTAATAATATTTATTGTACCTGTACATTATATACGAAAAGAAGTATAAACATACAATATATAACAAACAATACCAATAATAAGCCCATGGCTTATACATGGAGGGGCGGCTTATATTCGGAATAGCCGAAATTCTCTTCTTCTCATATTCCTCAAGAGGCGAGAATATAGGCCCTCTGGCAGGAATCGAAGATGCGCTCATTTGATTCCGGTGCAGCGCTCTAGAACCAACTGCCCTCCCAGACGTCCTGCCCCCCCCCCCCCCCCCC